CCCCCAGCTGCACACGGGCGTCGGGGTCTTCAGGCTGGGGCCGGTGTTCGCCCCGCCCACGCCTGTGGCTGCTCCCGCGATGGACACTGGCGACAAGCCGAGGGAGACGCCCGCGGGCGCCCCCGGCGCCGCCGACTGCCCCCTCCAGACCGACGGGCCGTCCCCCTGGCCCCTGTCTGCGGCCCCCGCGCAGCTCCCCGACACGCCGCCCTTCGGGGATCCCCCTGCCCGTGCTGCTGAACCCCGGGCGGACAGCACAGCCTCGGGGCCTCCGGGCGCTGCCGTGGAGGTGCCCGCCCGGGCCCAGGCCAGCGGACTCGGAACCGGAGAGCCCAGTCCGGCACAGTCCAAGGTACGGCGCGCGGCCCCGCGGTCATCGCCCGGGTGAAGCGGGCTGTTCGGTGCCCAGCCGTTGTGATGGCAGAATCTGGGGGGGGCTTGGTGTTCCATGGTCAGGGTTTAGGGTTAGGCATGCGCTTCTGGGACCGGGTTCGAGAAACCCAGAGGAGGGCGTCCTGGCGGTCTCCCCAGAGATGCGCGAGGTGAGGAGCACTTGTTCCCGCCGGCGCCGAGTCGGGGAGGAGGAAGTGTGCGCCTGTGTGTGTGCGCGCGCTCGCTCGGTGGGGTCGCGGGGCGAATGGGACAGAAGGAGGTGTGGCGACAGTGCCCGCAGTGCGAGCAGCGGTAGCTCATGATCTCTTCTGGCCCCGGGGAGCCCCCTTCAAGCAGGGTTTGTGGGTCACCCTGAAATCGCCAGTTTCTAAAGATAAGGAGCATGTCTGCCTTTGAGAGAGAGAGCACACAGGTGTTTAGGAATGTTAGTAGCCCGCTGGGACACCTGTCTTGCCTGGTAGAAGAGTGGTCAGGGCAGGCGTGTTTGTGTCAGCGCAGGGACAGGTTGTTTGAGCCCAGTTCGGAGCTGACCAGCTGCAGACCCTCCCGGAGGTGCCAGGCTCTGCCTTCCTGCGCCTGCGGGTGGGAGACCCAGGACTGACTTGTGTTTCTGGACTGTTTTGCAGCTGAGGGTAATGACAGAGTGACTGTTTTGGCAGGGACAGGGCACGCCAGGCAGGGAGAGCACGTTCCTGAAGGTAAGAGTCGCGCAGGGGCGTTCTTGTACGCGCAGTGAAGATTTGTTTTTTAGACATTCTCAGTTTTTCTTTTGGGAGCTGGTGCTCGTCCTGCAGGCGGTGCGGAAACCTCGTAGTGAGATAGATAGATCTCCTCAGTATAAGCAGCATGTGCAGTAAACCTGTCCTGTGCACCAGGCCTGGCTGTCAGGGTGAGAGCATACGAGCTGGGAAGTGACTGGGTCTCCTTGCGGGTTGTCTGGCCTTGCCAGGGGGTTAGAGCTGGGGTTGTGAGCCAGCAGGGTTCCGTCTGGGACTGGAACTTGCAGGCCGGATTGTCATTTTGCCATTGTCCGGCTGAATTATTCCGTACGGTGTCCTGGAGAACTTTAGTTCCTCTTGGAGCAGGTCATATGAGATCTGTCATTCTCGCTGTCTCCCTGTCTTCCGGCTACCTGGGGCAGTGAAGGGAGCAAGTCTGCGTCTCGTCTCCCTTTTCTACTTTTTTCGCTGCCGCCTCGTGGTTCTGCTTGGAAGACGTGCATTCTGGGGCTCTAAACCCGGCTGGGAAAATCGTGCTCCAAAATCTCAGGAGGAGAGCAGTCCGCTCCCGGTTATCCGGGGCTTGCAGGAAGGGTTCTGTGGCGTGATGCGGCCCCCGAGAGGCGTCTGGCATGTGCTATCGGATCACTTCTCTCACGACACCTCAGGCTGCCGGGGCTGCTGTGGTGGTGCTCCGCTCTCAAGGTGATGGTTTTCCTGTTGGCTTCTCTCCCGCAGCTGAACAAGTGGATCACGGACAGGATATCGCCGGCCCGCCCCTCTTCCTCCTCCTCCTCCTTCAGCCTCAGTGGCTGGACGCCCCCCGTGGAGCGCCACTTCACCCCCCTGCGGGGGCCCCACGGCAAGTTCATCTCCCCCCCTCAGCGGGCCCCTTCCACTGCCTCCTCGCCGGGCTCTCCGGCCGACTCCGCCCAGCGCCATGCCCGGGGAGAGCGCAGCCACTCGGACATCGCGGAGCTGGCCAAGCACGTGAGTCTGACCGCCCTGCCTGCAGGCTGTGTGGAAGGTGCTGCGCTGACAAACGAGGTGTTTGGCGCTGCCTCCTCAGCATCTTAACAGGTCGTGGCCGCAGGGCAGTGGGCCAGGATTTGGTAGCTGGTGCTGAGAGGAAAAGTCTCCCCCTGCAACTCACTGCT